TAAGCCAAGTTCTTAGTGTGCACTACAATAACAGCCTTCATGCAGCACTAATCTAGCCTCCTGGGCCCAGAGGCCTCATGACTTTGAAGCCATTGGAAATGTCCCACTAGCACGGCATAAAGAGCGCCTTTATCTGTGCCAGGTTCAAAGCAGGAGCAATCTATGAATGGCTGGGCACCTCCTGCATTATGAAAGGTGTGACTGGACACAAGTGGCCTGATTGTTAATGCTTTTTCATGGTCTTAGGGAAACAGAGAGGCGAGGTGAAAGCAAGGCTCCCCCAAGCTGTGTTTTTGGCGTATGGTCGCATGCTGAATTGTGTTTGTTGACATTTGAACGTGCCTGGGATTTCAAACCCATGGTCACAACCTTTTTTTTCCACAAAAGAGGAAGTTTGAGTGTGTTTATTTTGTGAATGCAATTTTTAGCCTACAATAACAAGGGTTCTGTTCCAAAATCTAGTAAGCTCCCTACATAGACATAATTTTATGGCTTCATAGTGAAAGCTTTCCAAAAGAAAGGCAGCATAATTATGTATCTCATAATGCAAGACAAATATTGATATATATATATAATTGATAAATATATAATTATTTATAAATATAATTCATTAAATAACAGTTCATATCATCAACTACAACTAAAACTATAATATAAAATAATAAAATAAAATAAAAACTAGATAAACTAGACTTTTATAAAAATGTAAAAACTTGAAATAAAAAAAAAATGAACAAAGATTAGAAGTGTTCCCTTGGCAACTAACCGAAATAAATAAGTATAAGTTGGTTTACTAAAATCATTAAAACTAAAAATTAACTAAGAAATAAATTAAAGCTACATAGTAATATATATAAAACAAAACAAAAGCACATATCACAATTACACACAATTACAAAAACAAAATAATTCAATATATTAATAAATACTAATAGTTAAAAAGTATTAATAAATAATTAATAGTTTATAAATAAAACTAAAATTACATTAAACAAGTATTGAAAAAAAGGAAACAATTAAAAAAACTCCAATAAAATTCATAATGTACCGATTTATCTAATATTTGCATGTACTACGTATATTAATCTCTTCTTTAGCTTAGCAGCATGTTAATACCAAACTCTATTGAAAGTAATTAACAGAAGTCGAGTCTCATGTGCTTTGCATGTTATTTTTATGATGCACAGAGTTGCTGCCTATGTAGATCACTTCAAATTGGTCACTTATGAGGTTCCATTTCACTCGTCCTATAGAAGGTAGCTGTCTAATTAGGCAGAACACAGCAAGGTAGCTCACTAAGTTTTGGAACAGAGCCACAGTATTAACTACTTTTCTTTTATTATGTCTATAAAATAGCAATATCATAAAGAACACCAGCCAGTAAAGGACTCACCCAGCCACCGGGTGGACCACTATGGATCTGGGGTTGTTGAGGTTTCGTACAATGGCTCGTCTGGACTTATCCGCGACCTTCATGACAGATATACTCCTGTAGCGTGGATCCGTCCAGTACAGGTTCTTCGATATCCAATCATAAGCGAGATCTTCCACACCATCCACCCGATTGGCTGCTAGTACCTCCCTGCCTGTGCAGTTTAAAGCAAAGCAACACAAAGATTAGTGCGCAATCCACTGCTAGTAGGTATGGAAACTAAAAAGATATGAAAGCAAGAAACAACTCAGATTGCAGCAAATGTTTTTACAGCAGTCATTAGTAACCTCCAGTTGAAGTGTAAATAGGATGCATTACACTGATCAAAAGTGACAGTACAGACATTTATAATGATCTCAAAAGATGTCCGTATCAAATAAATGCTGTTCTTTTGAACTCTCTAATCATCAAAGAATCGTGAAAAAAATCTATCTTGGTTTCCACAAAGATATTAAGCAGCACAACTGTTTTCTTGATTATGTGACACTGAAGACTGGAGTAATGATGCTGAAATTCAGCTTTGCATCACAGGAATAAATAACATTTATTAAAAATGCGTTTTAAGTTGTAATACTTCACAATTTTTACTGTATTTTTGTCAGTGCAAATTAATATGCTTTCACTTAGATGTGGCTCACAGGTGTTGAATGAAACGAGCAAACTCTCTATATTGTTTTGGGTTGAGTCAGGGGGAGGAGGGTATTAGTATCCTGGATTTCTATTAGAAATGTAGCCCAACACCAGTGAACACATTATCTCATGTAGTTGGCCTTTGAAGGCAGCTGATAGGCGAGATCACATGCAGCAAAATGTGTTGTTGGCACACAGCAAATATCCAGAGGGCTGAGTGGAGTATTCAGTGAGTATCAGTTTCTCACTTTATCTGCTTACAAGTCAAGCACATTTCATCAAACAGAGCACAGATTTTGTTCTTTTTTCAACAGCAAAATAAATGGGATAAAATAATTTGAAATGAAGAACACAAGGGATGAATACAAGGGATGGAAATTACGGGAGGCTTGGGGCAAAAATGGCATCAAAATCTAAATAAATGCCCCCCAAATTCAAGATATGGGGGCAAAAAATGTCCCTGCACAGTTAAAGTAAATGAATTACAACTGTCACAGTTAAAGTAAAATATACAAATGAATAAAAAATGTTGAATGCGGCATTACATTTTTATCTTCTGATGTAGCACCAAACATTTGTTTTTATGCATTGTGTTATGCAGCATTAAGCATTAAATACAGTTACACACATCTGTTGAGTGCATGAATGCAATGGCTAATTGGAGGCGTTTAGATTTTGACCTGCCGTTTTTTATGCATTCTACTAATCAACTTTAATAATAATTATTATAATATCAAGGGCAATAATCAACAATGTTATTTATCAAAAAATAACAAGCGATTGATTTTAAAGTACTTTTACTCGTTTATAAATCACTCAATGGCCTAGGACCTAAATACATTGCAGACCACTCAGATCATTAGGATCAAGTCAGTTAGAAATACCAAGGGTTCACACAAAACAAGGGGAATCTGCTTTTAGCTATTTTGCCGCCCGCAGTTGGAATCAGCTTCCAGAAGAGACCAGATGTGCTAAAACATTAGTCACATTTAAATTCAGACTCAAAACTCATCTGTTTAGCTGTGCATTTATTGAATGAGCACTGTGCAATGTCTGAACTGCATGCACTGTATTTTATGTATGTATAATCATTTTCTATTTTTAACTGTCTAAAATTCATTTTAAATCAATTTTTAAATCATTGTCAAAGTTTTGAAATTCCTTGTTTTATTTTTGTGATTATTTTTTAATGATTATTTTACTTTCTTCTATGTAAAGCACTTTGAATTACCATTGCGAACGAAATTTGCTATATAAATAAACTTGCCTTGCCTTATCCTGTAATAAGTAATTAATTTATAAACTTAAATTTTTTTTTTTTTTGATGTTGATCATATTGGTAACAGCCTATAGTATTCTGACTGATTTAATTAATTGATTAAATTAAGTTTTACATAAAAAAGACGACAGGCACATTTACAAAGGTAAAAATTGCATATGTGCCTGGAAGAAGTTATCGCTTACAGCAGCTTTACTGAAATATGCATGAAAAATACTTGTCATACTCACCGGTTCCATCAATTTTCTGTTTGTAGATGATGTCCTTCACTGTATCAGAGAAGAAAACTGAATTGTCCGCAGCACTGAAGTCCACTCCAACGAAATAAGACGGAGTTCCTGTGATGGGGAGAATGATGTCTTCCTGTGTGGACAGGTTGAAGGGGATCCCTCTGACTGCCAGCTGACTGGAGAACAGCAGAAACTGCCTCACAGCTGCAAGACACATATTGCATTTATATTGTTTTCTTTAAACATCAAGCTGCTGCATCCCAAAATGTCGATTTTTTTTGTGTGATATGGCCTCTTTTAAACGCATAAGATGCAAAGATGCAATGATAATTTGCATCTTTGTAGACAAGATCTGTCTTACCCAGGCATCTCTTGCCGTCAGCATGTAGATCGTAGCCCATTCGGCAGCGGCAGCGATATCCCAAGCCGCCGTTATCAGTTCTGTGACTCAGAACACAGATGTGTTCACAGCCTCCTCGATCGGCGCCACAGGGGTTACTTACTGTCCGATCAAACAAACGGAGATGTCAATAAATCACAAAAAGAATAGCAATAATTTCATGATGTCTGTCAGCATTTTTGTTTAAAGTGGCTACGTTTAAAACCTCTCCTAAGCACAGTGATTCAACAATGCTGTGCAACAGGACAGATTAACAAAACATTTACACTACAAATGTGATGCAATCACATTGCATTTCTGGTTATTTTCATGTCTGTTTTCAGTGATTTCAGTTCAAAACTATTTGGGCCGCATTTACACCTGTATTGAGCACTGACCACTTGTGATCTCATTACCAAAGACAAATCTTAATATTAGATGTAAACAAGATCATTGGGAACAGGAATTGCACCATATATATAGTTTATTGCAAAATGTTATATATATTAAAATATATAAATATTCAAAATTTTTATATTTAGACATTTGCATATATTTGATATATTTTATACATTTGCATATTTCAATTTTACATTTGGCACATTTATAATTTTACATATTTAGAATTTCAAAATTTTCAACATTTTACTATTGTAATATCAACAGCGAAAGTAGCTCGTGGGCGTGATCTAATTAGAGATAATGAAGCCAGACGGGAAAGACTGGACATCACTTTGGTTTCATATGGATTACTTTATCACAGAATATTTGTTTTCGATAAGACTTGCTTCGTTTTAAAAGTAGACATGTCAAGCTTTCTATAGATACATCTCTCATGTCTCTGTGTCGAGTATTCGCTGAGTTTCAGTTCATTTTAGTGACGCGTTTCTAAATGAAGATCACGGAGACCAAGGCGGCAGACAGCGCACCCTGGTTGTTTTCTGTATTTTACAAAAGCACAAAGTTTTGTTGTTATTATGTGTGTATACAAATAAAAGTAGACCCTTTACAGATTCGATTGATGTATTGCTCTTATCTGTACTATCAAAACTGACGGAGTAATTTAAGTTCCTTTAGGGGCTTTCAAAAAAAATGCAACAAAAAGCACCGGCGCATTCGTCGACCCCAGAGGGTTAAAACAACTCCAAGTACATTGTATTTTTTTTTTACTTAAAATCAGTCAATATTGCACCAGATTTTTTATTACACCATTTGGGATACTTTATGGAATATGTAGTATATTCCCTCAAAAAACAAGGTTTCAAAAAACTTTCAAAAACAGAATTTTTGTTTTAATGTAATAACATTTGTTGTAATGTAATAAAGTTGTAATGTAATCTGAGGTGAAACTGGCCGTCATGTTACTTTAGAATTGTTTATCTACCATTATAGTATTTAATAATATTTTGAATTATAATATAAATATTTGTATATTTTTCAGTTTTTTTATTGCAATTTTAGTTTAAGCTTCAGTAATTTTGTTTTGCACTGCAGTCTTGTTGCTGAATTCCTAACAGTTTAATATACATACTGTAATACAGAGTGGCAGATGCACTTTCTAGCTCCTTACCAAAAGGCTGTCTGTATGCATGGACCATAGTCAGGCCATGTGGTCTCTGAGAGGTCCTGTAGAGCTCTTGTGGGCTGTTGTCGCTGTATTTATTAGCCTTCATAACTGCCATCTTAGTCCAGTCAGTGTAGTAGACTGAATGCTCGAACAGAGTAATGGCAAATGGATGAGGAATCAAAGACCCACCATGGACCACAGTTTTCCTATTGGAGAATTCAAATAAGCTCTTAACAGACTTCCGGAAAGTGCAAACAACTTATGAAAATCAGCATGCATTTCCAAATAAAACATCTCTGCAACCCCTAGAAGATACCTGTGCAAGCCATCATAAGTCGTTGTTTCGATATAATCATATCGGCTGTCCACCCAATATACTCTTTTAGCCTCAAGGTCCAAAGTAATCCCAGCAGGCCAGCCGAGTTTGGTCCTGATGATCCCATAGCGATTGGTACCATCCATGTAGGCCCTTTCCAAACCCGGTTCTCCATTCAAAGTATCCCAGTCAGAGAAGAAAAGGTACCTAAACTCCAACAAAACAACCTCACTGTGACACAAGACACTGTTTTAATCGCATTTAACATCTAAAACAGAAAGAGGAACTAATCCTAAATGAAATGATCCCATTGTAATGATGAATCGTGATTTATTAATCTCATGTTGCACTGAAAGAGATGAAGAGCAACTTGAACTTCAAAGGTATTTGCGCAAATATATTGTTAGTGCTCAGTTTGGATAGCATCGGGTTACGGATAAAACCCTTGGGGATAAGAACAAGATTTCGAAATGAATACCCAAAGAACGTTATTTTCAAACACCAAAGCGATGCAACTATACGCACTTTATTGTCACTTCTCAATTTAGCATGAGGCCACCTGGCCGTACGACCCTATCGGGTTTCCGTGAAGTTCATCTTTGCTTAATTACTTCTGACTAATCCTCACAGACAGTGTACAACATTCCCGTTCTCAGTATCTGAGGCTCCAGATCCGAGATCAGCTTCATGATTGCACTTACAATGGACGCGGATTAGGTGGAGGAAGCAAGGGTAAGATTAAAGTCAATGGGAAGCGTCTGACGTCTCCCTCGGGAACTCACCCCATGGTCGGGTCAAGCGCAAGACCTCTCGGGTTGCCCAGGTGCTCGGCGATTAGTGTGACCCGATTGCTCCCATCCAAGTCCACCATGTCGATTCTGTTGACGCTGGCCTCCACCACGTACAGCTTATTATTCACCCAGTCCACGGCCAGGTTTTCAGGATAGTCCACAGATACATTCAGCACCACCTGCAAACGCGACCCGTCCATATCCACTGAAAACACCTGTTTGGAGCAAACAAGTTGTGGTTAGGGAAGTTGTCGTTGAAGTTTTGATATCCTGCCACAGACCAGCATTTGTTGTAAATATTGTAAAATATTATAAATAATAACTATTATATGTAACTGAAATTACTAAATAAAAACTAAAACTATCAAAAACACTGGTAAAATAAAATTAAATAATGAAATTAAATAAAATTTAAAATAAATAAAATAAAATATTAGGTGAAAAACTAAATGAACTGAAAAGAACTGAAATTACTAATGAAATTAATAAATTAATAAAATGAATTTTATACATAATAAATATTATAAATGAACTGACTAAATAACAACTAAAACAATTTTTGCACATTTAAATGATGAAATACTGTACAATAAAATATAAATAATAGATGAAAAACGTAAACTAAATGAAAATTAGAAATGCTGCCTTGCCAAGTTGAAGAACTGAATTCACTTTCACTAAATTACTAAATAAAGTGAATATTACAGAAATATATTATAAATAATAAATATCATAAATACATTAAAGATTTAAAAATTAACTGAAATTACTAAATAAATAACTACAACATTTTTGTTAAAAGTAATAAAGTGAAATAAAATAAAATCTAAATATTAGATGAAATATTTTAAACTATATGAAAATTTAAAAAATTTGAAATTACTAACTACATTTCTAAATAAATAAAACGAATATTCTAAATAAATCAATCAAAATGAAACTACTAAATAAATAAAAAACTAAAGAACTAAAACTGAAATACAATTAAAAATAAAATGGCATAATGAATACAATGGCTAAAAATTAAACTAAAATGAAAACAGAAACTATAAAAATAAAAGCTAATTTAAAACAGTAATATAAAAAATAATAAAAGTATAGAAATAATATATAAATAATAAATATCATAAATACATTAAAGATTTAAAAATTAACTGAAATTACTAAATAAATAACAACTACAACATTTTTGTTAAAAGTAATAAAGTGAAATAAAATAAAATCTAAATATTAGATGAAATATTTTAAACTATATGAAAATTTAAAAAATTTGAAATTACTAACTACATTTCTAAATAAATAAAACGAATATTCTAAATAAATCAATCAAAATGAAACTACTAAATAAATAAAAAACTAAAGAACTAAAACTGAAATACAATTAAAAATAAAATGGCATAATGAATACAATGGCTAAAAATTAAACTAAAATGAAAACAGAAACTATAAAAATAAAAGCTAATTTAAAACAGTAATATAAAAAATAATAAAAGTATAGAAATAATACTAAAATAACACTGGTTTAACCAGCACAAATCCCTTGCCTAACCAGCTTCACTTGAAAGACCACGATGGTCAACCAGCCTCAAGTTTGTCTAAACTAGTTTCTTCTTTAGTATGTGGCACGAAATCAGCCTGTGAAAACTCAAACTGATCTAAGGTGGTCTTTTCAGCTGTAATCCTACAAGAACATAATCAAAACTTGACATTACATTCTCTTCTTAAATAATCATGGTAATAAGATTGTGGTCTGGCTTATATCATCTGACATCTGATAGTTTGCCTTTCTCCGCTGCCCCAGAGGTGGTACTCTGAAACCACTGCCCTATTGATTAAAAGATGGCACCAGTTTCTCAGGCTGGATCCCTTGGCATCATAACACAAGCTAAGGCACCAATGCTCTTTGCAGGCTTCGCCCTTTGGAAACCAGAGCCAAACGTCTAAAAGACTATGATTCTGAGCTGACCCGTTTAACAGAAACTCAAGCTGTGAAGGTGGTCTGGTGGTGTGGCTCTCTGAGACCCCCTGCCACTATACTCAGAAGCCCATCTCCTTGCATGTACCCACTTTTTTTGCTCCATGGCTGATCTCCAAATCACAAAGTAGCCAAGAGTTTGAAACAAAGCTCTTTGAGCTGGCCAAAGAATGCATAAAAAAGGGAAGAATATTGCACGCTTACTCCAGATCCTCTCAGGTTGCATAAAATTATGCAGAAATATGCGAGCATTTCCCTGCCTATCAGACACTTTCTGGAGATTAGAAAACTTGGAGTCTAGCACTGATTTGAGTCAGTTACCGTGACTGCGGCCCTTCGGGAGCCAGACTGGTCACCCATTATTAACGTATTAGCAGTATCTACAGGCATCAGCTGAAGAATTCCCTTTCCGCTGATGAAGAGCCAACTTCCTTCATAGCTTCCACAAGCTGTTTTTTTCTTTAATCCTCAGAGACCCAAGCACTGATATTTATTATATATTTTCTTCTTTTTCTCACTTTTATTTTTTTTGTGTGTGTTGGGATGAATTTTGGTTAAACATTATTAAAGCAGAATGAAAAAAACACAAAAAAAAACAAACAATGGTTTTTCAAGGATGTAAAATCACACAATTGCATTATTCTATGAATTCCATGTTGGGAAATATAAAATATATATATATATTACTGTTTTTACAATATAACTTACAATATAATTAATACATATACTGTACACTAGTACATTCAAAATGACATAAAAAATTAAAAACATTAAAAATGATTTATATTTCAAATAAATTCTGTTCTTTTGAACTTTCTATTCATAAACGAGTCTTGGGAAAGAAAATACATCACAGTTTCTACAAAAATATGAAGCTGCACAACTGTTTTCAACATTAATAATTATAAGCAATGTTTCTTGAGCAGCAAATCGGCATATTAGAATGATTTCTGAAGGATCATGTGACACTGAAGATTGGAGTAATGATGCTGAAAATTCAGCTTTGATCACAGGAATAAATTACATTTTAGAATATATTCAAATATAAAGCAGCTATTTTAAATTGTAAAAATATTTCACAATATTACTGTTTTTACTGTATTTTTAACCATATAAATGAAGCCTTGGTGAGCATAAGACACTTCTTTTAGAAACATTTAAAAAATCTTACCGACCCAAAACTTTTGACTGGTAGTGTGTCTACATATTCATATTATATAACTGTAAAATGTATTACAAAGCAGTCATTAGTGGTGTCAGTGACCCTGCTGTGTGACTCTGAAATGCTGGAAAATTCACATTATAAAATCTTTTTTTTTAAACTTTTTGCTATTATGCCTTTGAGAGTTGAAAGTTTAAACCCATTATTTAACATAACATAATAACATAATATTTACATAATTAACATCATATTGCTCGGTCTTGGTTGCTTCAGGAATAGTTTAGGGAGGCTTGAAAGATACTGGCACACTCTATTTGAGACAGACAGACTTTATTTGGGCCTTTAGCCAAACGTTGTTGCTGGGGTGTATGAGAGGTGAGATCAGAGCAGACTGACTGGCACAATGAGTGAGTGTGTGTGTGTGTGTGTGTGTGTGTGAGTGTTTGTGTGAGTGTGTGTGTGTGTGTGTGTGTATGTGTGTGTCTCTGTTGAAGGAGGAAGAGCTGGTATAATGCAGAGCTTTGTTATCAACAACAAATGTAACATCGATATCACTCGTCCTGACAAGGTTAGAACTTCAGTAATCTGTGAAATGCCACGTGTATGTGTGTGTCTCTGTTGAAGGAGGAAGAGCTGGTATAATGCAGAGCTTTGTTATCAACAACAAATGTAACATCGATATCACTCGTCCTGACAAGGTTAGAACTTCAGTAATCTGTGAAATGCCACTTATTAAATTCAGGAAAACTGAGAACCCGTGGCAGGTGCCAGAGCATTAAATGAATGTAAGTGGGAAATATTAATGCCACACACCAAGCAATGAAATAGAGTAAACTGTGCTCTAAGTCCATTAGGACTGGACAATATATATATATATATATATATATACAGGGTTTGAAATTAACACCCGCCAACTGCGGGTAAAAATCAGCTGTGGCGGGTAACGCTGTCAAATCACTAGCCAATTTGGCGGGTTACTTTTCGTAAATTCCAAAGGTGCTCTATTGGATTGAGATCTGGTGACTGTGGAGGCCATTTGAGTAAAGTGAACTCATTGTCATGTTCAAGAAACCAGTCTGAGATGATTTGAGCTTTGTGACATGGTGCATTATCCTGCTGGAAGTAGCCATCAGAAGATGGGTACACTGTAGTCATAAAGGGATGGACATGGTCAGCAACAATACTCAGGTAGGCTGTGGCGTTTAAACGATGCTCAATTGGTACGAAGGGGCCCAAAGTGTGCCAAGAAAATATCCCCCACACCATTACACCACCACCACCAGCCTGAACCGTTGAGACAAGGCAGGATGGATCCATGCTTTCATGTTCTTTACGCCAAATTCTGACCCTACCATCTGAATGTCGCAGCAGAAATCGAGACTCATCAGACCAGGCAACGTTTTTCCAATCTTCTATTGTCCAATTTTGGTGAGCCTGTGCGAATTGTAGCCTCTGTTTCCTGTTCTTAGCTGACAGGAGCGGCACCCGGTGTGGTCTTCTGCTGCTGTAGCCCATCTGCTTCAGGGTTCGACGTGTTGTGCGTTCAGAGATGGTATTCTGCATACCTTGGTTGTAACGAGTGGTTATTTGAGTTACTGTTGCCTTTCTATCATCTCTTACCAGTCTGCCCATTCTCCTTTGACCTCTGACATCAACAAGGCATTTTCGTCCACATAACTGCCGCTCACTGGATATTTTCTCTTTTTCGTACCATTCTCTGTAAACCCTAGAGATGGTTGTGCGTGAAAATCCCAGTAGATCAGCAGTTTTTGAAATACTCAGACCAGCCCATCTGGCGCCAACAACCATTCCACGTTCAAAGTCACTTAAATCCCCTTTCTTCCCCATTCTGATGCTCGGTTTGACCTTCAGCAAGTCGTCTTCACCACATCTAGATGCCTAAATGCATTGAGTTGCTGCCATGTGATTGGCTGATTAGCAATTTGTGTTACCAAGCAATTGAACAGGTGTACCTAATAAAGTGGCCGGTGAGTGTATATATATATATATACATTATGATCAATATTGTGATTAATTAACTAGATGTTAACTGTATTTAACTTGCATTAAACATCTAGGATACAAAGGCTGTTAGATGGAAATGACTGAATTTTACAAAAAAAATGCAAATACATAAATAGTGTCAAAAAGACTGAAAAATATTGAGATACACTGTTTAAAAGTTTGGGGTCGGTAAGATTTTGAAAAACATTTTTAAAAGATGTCTCGTTTGAAAAAAATAAAGTAAGGTCAGTTATAATGTGAAATATTATTGCAATTTAAAATAACTGTTTTCTATTAAATTATATTGTAAAATGTAATTTATTCCTGTGATGCAAAGCTGAATTTTCATCATTACCCCAGTCTTCAGTGTCACATGATCCTTCAGAAATCATTATAATATGCTGATTTGCTGCTCAAGAAACATTTCTTATTACTACCAATGTTGGAAACAGTTGTGCTGCTTCATATTTTTGTGAGAAACCGTGATACATTTTATTTTTCAGGATTCTTTGATGAATGGAAAGTTCAAAAGAGCAGCATTTATTTGAAATAGAAATCTTCTGTAACATTATAAATGTCTTTTCTTTATAAATGCCAGCCCTAATGCTATTTTTAGGGACTATATGCAACTTCAAAAAAACTGCTGTTGTTAGTCTGTAGACCATTTACCTTATTTTGGATTGTGTCGGTCCAAAAGACCCTTTGCAGCTGGTAATGAAAGTCCACACCAACAGCAACTCCTCTGTTCTGGGACTCGACCAGGGTTTGAGCACTGTGTCCGTGGACATCAGCAATCAGCAAGTCTCTCCCATTGGAGAATATAAGCGAAGGCACCCCAGCTAAAGATGGCCAAACAAAGTGAATTAATGTGGAAGGATAACTTCAAAATGAAGGCTACAGTTTGACAATCTTTAGAGAACTCATAATATAATGTACTTTTGATAAGGCATAACAAATATGTGAGAGAGTTTAAAATTGGCTGTGTGGTGCCAGCGTTTGTTATTCATTTCCAGGGCCTGCCAAACAAATGGTTGGGAGGCAGACATTTCAGGAGCTTAACATGATGGCATTCAATGCAAACTGAGGCGCTCGAAGAGAGATGAGCTGCAAAAAGCCTGATTAATGGGCATATAAGATAACAGTTAACACCAGGAATATTAGTCTCAAAGCCATGATACTTGTGTGAAAGCATGCAGGAAAATATAATGCAGAAGTAACAGAAAAAATTAAAAACAAATTATGAATAAATAAATACAGTTTAAAAAAATACTTGTGTAAAATATATTTAAAATAAATATTAATTAATTTGATATGATTCATGAGAAAAAAAGGACACCGAGTAAATAAATACAATTTAAAAATGTGTAAATCTGTGTAAAATGTATTTAAAATAAATATGAATTTAATATGGTTCATTATGGGACAAAGTATGATTAAATAAATACAATTAAAAAAAATACTAGTTAACCTGTGTAAAATATATTTAAAATAAATATGAATTATTTTAATATGATTTCTTATGAGAAAGGATATTGAGTAAATAAATACAAAATGTTTAAACCTGTGAAAAAATTATTTAAAATGAATATTAATTAATCTAATATGATTTTTTTTATCAGAAAAAAATGTACGCTGAGTAAATAAATACAATTAAAAATACTTGTAAATCTGTGTACAATCTTTTAAAATAAATATTAAATGATTTTATATGATTTATTATGAATGGCTATCTGAATTTAAAATAACTGTTTTCTATTAAATTATATTGTAAAATGTAATTTATTCCTGTGATGCAAAGCTGAATTTTCATCATTACCCCAGTCTTCAGTGTCACATGATCCTTCAGAAATCATTATAATATGCTGATTTGCTGCTCAAGAAACATTTCTTATTACTACCAATGTTGGAAACAGTTGTGCTGCTTCATATTTTTGTGAGAAACCGTGATACATTTTATTTTTCAGGATTCTTTGATGAATGGAAAGTTCAAAAGAGCAGCATTTATTTGAAATAGAAATCTTCTGTAACATTATAAATGTCTTTTCTTTATAAATGCCAGCCCTAATGCTATTTTTAGGGACTATATGCAACTTCAAAAAAACTGCTGTTGTTAGTCTGTAGACCATTTACCTTATTTTGGATTGTGTCGGTCCAAAAGACCCTTTGCAGCTGGTAATGAAAGTCCACACCAACAGCAACTCCTCTGTTCTGGGACTCGACCAGGGTTTGAGCACTGTGTCCGTGGACATCAGCAATCAGCAAGTCTCTCCCATTGGAGAATATAAGCGAAGGCACCCCAGCTAAAGATGGCCAAACAAAGTGAATTAATGTGGAAGGATAACTTCAAAATGAAGGCTACAGTTTGACAATCTTTAGAGAACTCATAATATAATGTACTTTTGATAAGGCATAACAAATATGTGAGAGAGTTTAAAATTGGCTGTGTGGTGCCAGCGTTTGTTATTCATTTCCAGGGCCTGCCAAACAAATGGTTGGGAGGCAGACATTTCAGGAGCTTAACATGATGGCATTCAATGCAAACTGAGGCGCTCGAAGAGAGATGAGCTGCAAAAAGCCTGATTAATGGGCATATAAGATAACAGTTAACACCAGGAATATTAGTCTCAAAGCCATGATACTTGTGTGAAAGCATGCAGGAAAATATAATGCAGAAGTAACAGAAAAAATTAAAAACAAATTATGAATAAATAAATACAGTTTAAAAAAATACTTGTGTAAAATATATTTAAAATAAATATTAATTAATTTGATATGATTCATGAGAAAAAAAGGACACCGAGTAAATAAATACAATTTAAAAATGTGTAAATCTGTGTAAAATGTATTTAAAATAAATATGAATTTAATATGGTTCATTATGGGACAAAGTATGATTAAATAAATACAATTAAAAAAAATACTAGTTAACCTGTGTAAAATATATTTAAAATAAATATGAATTATTTTAATATGATTTCTTATGAGAAAGGATATTGAGTAAATAAATACAAAATGTTTAAACCTGTGAAAAAATTATTTAAAATGAATATTAATTAATCTAATATGATTTTTTTTATCAGAAAAAAATGTACGCTGAGTAAATAAATACAATTAAAAATACTTGTAAATCTGTGTACAATCTTTTAAAATAAATATTAAATGATTTTATATGATTTATTATGAATGGCTATCTGAATACACAAGCTGTAAAATATGTTCATTTTGTCTGTTTAATTGGAATACATGAGGTTTTCTAACCACACTGTAAAAAATGATTTTTCGAGGATGTAAATTGGAGTATGTTTTGCAAGAAACATACATACTATTTTCTACCACTGTCTTTCTACTTCAAAATGTCAAGTTTTATTCATTGTGTTACTTGCCATTTCTTTCTAATTAACTGTGAAATTTAGCAGAATAACAGAATACTTTCTGATTGTAACATTGAAAAATGCATGCCCTGTAAAGCTGTTTTGAAACGTATTGTGAAAAGCGCTATACGAATTAGGGTTGTGACGGTGAGGAAATTTTCCCACCGGTTAATCGACGTGTGACAACACCGGTAATACCGGTATCACCGTGGGGGTGGGGCATTCCCGCTTTTCCTCGCTTTTAAATAGCTTGTAAAAGCGGTGTGCCCATTTTACTTTCACTTTAAAATAGCGGCAATTCGGAGTAAAGCAATTGTTAATTTTTAGTTTGTTTGAATTTTCCCTCTTTTCCTCGCTTTCCGTCGCTTTTAAATAGGTTAAAAGCGAATCAACTTGAATTGAGCTGAAACGAATGAATCTATTGCAGCACTTCATCAAACACCTTCTACATACACACAGGCAGCATGTTAGAGGCCTGAATGGACTCACATGAGGGATTTGCTCTGCAGTATCTGTGCTGCTCCAGAAGGTAACCGTCCCGACAGCTGCAGCGATGGCTTCCGATCCGATCCTCACACAGCTGGTCACACATGCCCCACAGACTACAGTCATCATAATCTGCAAAGATGTGCACAGAGTACAGGGAGAGCTGATGGCAAGTCACCAGTTTGATTGAATATGAGCAACTATTTGTAATCATCAATCAAGCGTTTTACCAATGCATGAGCGGCTGTCGTTTCTGCTGACCATGTATCCTGGCGGACAGGCACAGGTTCCTCCTTCAGGAGAGGCGTGACAGTGATGCTCACAGCTCAGAGATGCACAGCGCCAGATACCTGACGCAAAACACAGCCATACAGCACTCGAAATGTTAGGAAAACCTTAGGCGAAACCAAAAATGTAACTATAATATCAAGCAAACACAAGAATTTTGGCAGATTAACATCATAATAAATGATAAACAAAAAACTAAGACTAGAAAACTAAAATTATTACACTACAAAATATTTTTTGTAGTTCTAAATAAGGATTATAGCAGTATTTTTTTTACAAGAAAATACTATTTCATTCTTTTTACTCCAAATTTTCACATTTAATTCGATGTGTTACTTGCTGTTTATTTTTAATTATTTGTGAAATTTACTAGCAATTTTTACTAACAATCATTTTTTTTCAGTGTATTAATAATAATTTAACAGTAATAGAAATACAGCTGAAATTAAATAAAATATAAATATTACATGAAAAATTCAAAAACATAAATAAAAAATAGAAGAATTTAAATACTAAAATTACTAAAACTGAAATAAAACAAAGATTTATAGAAATATTAAAAATAAGTTAACCAAAACTATTAAAAACATTTTGTAATTGTCAATAGCAATAAAACTGATTTATAAGATAATTATTAGATGAAAAACTTAAGCCTAAATTACTAACTGAAAATAAAAAAACTAAAGCTGAACAAAAGCAAAAACTGAAATAAAATAGTGATATAAAAATACAAATGGCAAAAGCACCTAACAACATTATTAACATTTCAACAAAAATTTAAATGTAAACTGAAAATATAAAAGTGAAAAAGGTGAAAAATGTAAAAAAGGTTAGACCAATTTTTTTTCAGCCTATAAAAAATATTTTAAGTAATAGAAATAATGCTGAAAATAAAATAAAAATATGTTATAAATAAATATAAAATATTTACGTTAACATTAGAAAATTATAAATTTGGCCTTGCAACTAACTGAAATAAAATAAGTTTTAAGAACGTCTCGGTTACGTATGGTAACCCTCGTTCCCTGAAGGAGGGAACGGAGACGTCACGTCGGGTGACCGACGAAATAACTGAAATAAAATAAGTTTTAAGAACTAAAACTGAAATAAAATAAATTAAAGCTATACATAAATATAAAAAAACAGAAACATATAAAAATGACAAAAGCACATAATAAAATTAAATCACAAAATAAAAACTGAAAATATAAAAAAGGTCATTCAAAATATTAATTAATAATATAATATTATATAAATAATACTTAAACAACACTGGCAGAAATCAGCTTTAGTGATTTTTAGGTGGTAACTGACTGCAGTTGCGTCCGGCAGTGGTATTGGTTTCATCTTCTCCGTCCGGACAGTGTGCCGTCCCATCACAGAGATGGTCCAGAGGGATGCAAACACCAGAAGAAGGACACGGCCATTCCCCGGGATAACACTCACGCTGGACATTATCTAAACGCAACACACAAAAAACACCATTTCAGCTCAGGTCACTCAAGATACTTTCATGCTCTGAAAAACAATCAATCGGAAGCCTGGCTTTTGCAATATTTAGCAGGAAGAAGGTCATTTTAAGGATGTACCGCAGCCTCTCTCATCTGCATTGTCCTCGCAGTCATCCTCTCCATCACACAGCCAGACCTGATGAATGCAGCGGCCGCTGGGACAGGTGAAGTACGTTCCTCTGCAGGTTGGGTAGGCTGTAGATAATGCATTAGTGAACGTTCACACCTGAGTAAAAGGCTTTTCTAAGATACCTTTTTACATTCTTTATGGTTGCATTTTAGAAACTGTGGAATGAAATATACATACTGCAGTTCTGTTCATCACTTCTGTCTCCACAATCATCGTCATGATCGCAGACGTATCCGCGAGGAACACATTCTCCATTACTGCACTGAAACTGACCGCCGCTGCACCGCTGGGCTGAAAACAAACAAGAAATATGTCTATCCACGACACAATTTCATAAAAGTTAAATAAAGCTGAAGATAACTATACTTGGTATGTTTTCACCACACCAAAGGATGGAAAAAGGGTGAATATCAAAATAAAATGCAGCATACAATACAGTATAATAAGGAATAGAAGAGCCACAAATGAATTTTTAATCATTGTTTATTCACCCTCATGTTGTTCCGACTCTATTATTTTCTTTCTTCCAATTTGTTCACTATATTACAAATATAAAGCTATAAAAGAGATTTGTGCGAGATGCATACCAAAATGTAAGCCTCTCAAACATCATTTGTGCTGGTTTTCAACTCACAAATGACACTTTTGGACACACTGCACTAGGTTTGACATCACCGATGGCAAATGGCATCGGTTTTTGTATGATGTGACGAATCGTGACAAAAAATGAGACTGCAAATGGGATAATCAGTGAACAACAAATTAAATTTGCTTTGCTACTCACAAAAAACTATGAAATGGCTTAATAACACTTGAAATATAGCACGAAAGTCACATATACTACAACAAACAACTATATATACAAATATACAAATCAATAAACATTTATTGATAGTTTTAGGGTACTTTTATGGTGTTCTGTGAGCTATGGTGTTTATAAATCACCATCCACTTTCATTGTATGGGAAAAAAGCAGCTTGAACATTCTGCCTAATATCTTATTTTGTGTTTCACCAAATCAGGGTTATTAATAACCAGAACTAAAAAAAAAAATTGTTAATTGAAATAAAATCAAATATACATATCAAATTAAAAACTTAAACAAATCATTAATTGAAAATAATGAATAATGATAAAACTGAAATAAAAAAATCAATACCAAAAGAGTAATGTTAATTTTTTTTTATAAAAACAAACGCACATAACCAAATTTCTCAAATTTAAACTAAAATAAAAAAAATAATTTTTTTTTAAAACAAAATATTGTTAAAAACTACAATAGCATATAGACAATATTACAAATAACAGAACAACATGATTATGAGTAAAAAAAATTTAAACTATATATTATAGTCAAAAATAATATATATTATAGTAAAAAAAAAATGTTCACAGTGATGCCATAGAAGTATTTTGATTCCCCGAAGAAACTTTTTAACGAGCAGTTCTTAAAAGAACCATTTATTTTTTCTTGGTGTAAAGAACTTTTTTAAAATCTATAGAACTTTTTTACGCTATACAGAACCCTTTGTCCAATGGAAACAATGAATGTTAAAGTCCCCGTGAAATCAAAATTAAAGTTTTTTGGGTGTTAGTATCAATATGTTAGTCTTAAGGTTATCTATAAGACAGTGTGCTCCAAAACAGTGACAAAATTCGCATTTAGAAGATATAAGCATTCGAAGCTTGTAGTTCCGTCACTTCCGCCAAAACGGCTCAACGATTTTTTTTGATGTCACATCGTACTTCAGCTTCTCATCAAAATTTCTGTCCAATCAAATGCTACTATTTACATATGATTAAGATCGGAAAAAACTATCTATATGATAATTAAGCTCTTTGTAGAGAAAGGAGCATAGTTTAATACACAATCTGGAGTGGAAGCTGGGTCGAGGCAGACTATAATTTCTTACACATCGTACTTCATCTTCTCATCAAATCTTCAGACCAATCAAACGCTCTCTAGAAGCCGAAGCGCCCGCCCCTACAAAATAGACGCTGAAGCTGCAGCTGAGATCGGTCGCTTGTTCACAGTGTAGTATTTCTTGTACAGTGAATGGCACGTAGTGTACAATGTAGGTGATAGGGAACGATTCAGACAGTGTAAATATGCTTTCGATTGGTGCAAATGAGGTCTGGTTTCACGTTGTGTCACGCGAACCGCGGCAGCGCGCACAGTCTGATCCGGACTTTGGCTCCGGTCCAGAGACGCGATCGCACGGAGCGGATCATATGCGCGAGTCGGCATATATTAAACACTTTTAAAACTACACAGCCTCAGCATGATTATGATCACTATTTTGTTTCTACTAAGAGTTTCATATTGAATCTAGAGGGTAATCTATTAGATTGTGGCTGTCAAATGCGGCTTTACCGAGCTCAACGGCTCTGACCCGTGCAGATATAAACAAAACGCTATTGGCTAATTTAAAAAGGGGGCGGGGCTGCTCGATATGTCCCGCCCTGTCTTCCTGTTTCAGTTGAAATTACGTCACCACATAGAATAACGCTGCGTGCTTCAAGGCACTTCAGGGAACCTTTAAGGGTTCTTCATGGAATAGTAGATGCCAATAAAAAAACTTTTATTTTTAAAAGTGCAATCAAACAGACAAAAAGTCACATGACTAAACATTATAGCTTCAAAATCTTGCAATTGCAAAAGTAGCGCAGACGTTTTCCAGGCCATCCAGTGGATGACTGTGTCAATGTGTGTGTCCTGCCAGGGAAATACACTCACTGCAATTGGCTTCGTCTGAGCCGTCTCGGCAGTTGAGCACCTGGTCACAGCGCTGGCTCCTGTTATAACACGCCCCGTTAGCACACCTCAGCTCCGAGCACTCTGGGTACACTGAGAAAAAGAGAGCACATCCAGTCATTCAATAAAATATAATCACTCTGTAATACAATACAGCGTCCACTGCGGTACGGCATCGAGTGATGCAAGTAAAGAAACAGCATAAAGCTAACGTAGAAAACAAACACAAACTTCTGCAGCCAAATGCCCATTATGTGCATAGCAAGTCTGGTAGAGTAAAGCAGTGTGTGATAAGAGCTCAGTGATGAACTGACACTAGCACTAATCCACAGAAGAATCTGCAATCAACTCTGACAAACAAGAAGCATATTGTGTCCATTTCTGTCCATCAGCGAGACTCTTAATCTTACAAATTGATTAAAATGCCACAGGAGCCTTTGAGGGGGAGAAAATACACACACACACACTATCTAGGGCTGGGCGATATATCAAATATTCATGATATATTTACAATATATTGCTATGATGTTTATGCACTTTATGATATTTAAACCTTGTTCGACTAGTGCAAGTATGAGAGCGTTAAATTCATGAAATGCAATGCAATGTCGTGACCGTTCTGCATCCTTAATCCAATGCATTTCCGCATGAAATAGGATATTTAAGGAACAAGGACATGAGTTTAACCATTGGGAATTGGCTGGATCTTAAAAAGCATACCAGAATGGAGTCAGGCAGTTAAAGGAGAAGGGTTGCAATGGGTTTGATGTAAATTTATAAAGTGAATAGACTCTAATTCGATTTCACTTTGACATCTGATTTAAAGGGGTCATATGATGCGATTTCAGGTTTTCCTTTCTCTTTGGAGTGTTACAAGCTCTTGGTGCATAAAGAAGATCTGTAAAGTAGCAAAGACTAAAGTCTCAAATCCAAAGAGATATTCTTTATAAAAGTTAAGAGTCAACCACGCCTACCTAAAACGGCTCGTTCTAACACGCCCCAAACATATCTACCTCACTATGTGGAAATATTTGCATAATGCCGCCCAAATGT